TATTTTCTTTGTATTATTTGTAGAGAGAGGGCTTTGCCATGTTACCCAGGCTGGTCTCAAACTCCTGGTATCAAGTGATTAGTCCATGTCACACCTGTAATCCCAGCACTTTGGGAGGCCAAGGCGGGTAGATTACATGAGGTCAGTAGTTCGAGACCAGCCTGGCCAACATGGTGAAACCCTGTCTCTACTAAAAATACAAAACATTAACGAGGTGTGGTAGTGCATGCCTGTAATCCCAGCTTCTCTGGAGGCTGAGGCATGAGAATCACTGAGCTGAGGATGTGGAGGCTGCAGTGAGCCGAGATGGTGCCACTGCACTCCAATCTGGGTGAAAGAGCAAGACTGTCTCAAAATTTAAAAAAAAAAAAATCACAAAATTTACAATAAATATTCTTAAATATTCACTTTAGTCATAATTATGCAACATTTTACTAAAATGTTTTTATCTTGCAAAGCTAAGTCTCAACACATATTAAACAACTACCAATTTTTCCCATTTTCATGGCACTTTTCAAACACCAGTCTTTTTTTTCTAGGAGTGTAACTGCATCATATATCTCAACAATCTCTGTCTTTTTATGGCTGGCTCATTTTATTTTGCATAATGTCATCAAAATTTATCTTTATAGTTGTTAGACTGTCTTCTGCTTTTTGAAAACTGAATGACAGTCCAGTTTTTTTGTTGTTGTTGTTTGTTTTGTGTGTGTGTGTATGTTTTTTTGTTTGTTTTGTTTTTTTTTAAATAATACAGATTCTCACTCTTTCACCCAGATTGGAGTACAGTAGTGTGATCTTGGGTCACTGCAACCTCTGCCCCTCGGGATTCAAGCGATTCTACTGCCTTAGCCTCCCAAGTAGCTGGGATTATAGGCGAGTGCCATCATGCCTGGCTAATTTTTGTATTTTTAGTAGAGTCGGGGTTTCACCATGTTGGCCAGGCTGGTCTCGAACTCCTGACCTCATGTGATCTGCCCTCCTCAGCCTCCCAAAGTGCTAGGATTACAGGCATGAGCCACAGTGCCCAGCCAAGTATTTTTATATTTCAGATTGTATCTACTGAATGATTTGGTGACAGAAACTTGTTTTGCTTTTACCTATTGGCTTTCAGTAGCAATAGTATAATAATTATGGGTATGAAAATGACTCTTCATATGACCATATATGTGAAAGTATATATATGTGCTACATTCTATTTTGTCTACTTTTTTTTAACCTTTATACTTGTAGCAAATTGTTTTAATTCTGTAGCTTTGTAATATGTTTTAAAATCAGAAACTATAATGCTTCCAACATTGTTCTGTTTTTGAAGATTGTTAGGTACTTTATTGTCCCTTGAGATTCCATATACTTTAGGGGTTGCTGTTTTTATGTCTTCAAAAATGCAATGAGAAATTGGGAAAACATTGCATTAAATCTTGTGTATTGAGCAGTATAGACATCTTCATAATATTAATTTCAACTTTTGAACAAAAGCATGCTAAAGAATTTGGTTTAATTTCTATATATTTGTAAACTTGTTAGCTTTTAATATTATTGTTTTATATTATTCCATTTTTGTTATGGAAAGTAATCCATAAAATTTCAGTTCTAAAATACTTTTTAAGACTTGACTTAGTTGGTGGCCTATCAAGAAGAAAGTTGTATGAGCTATCGATAAGGGTGTGTATCTTAATGTTGTTGAGTTTTGTATACCTACGTTAGGAATATTTGTTTTATACTGCCTTCAGGTCCTCTGTTCTCTTACTAATATTCTGTCTTGTTTTATTCTTATTTTAGAAAATGGGATATTAAAATATTCTATAATTATATTGTTCTCTATGTGTTTCTTCAATTCTGTTGATATTTGCTTTATATATTTAGAACCCTAATGTGAGACACACACACACACACACACACACACGCAAATTTGTCATAGGTTCCCATGAATCTGTTATTGTTTAATGTCCTTATTTGTCTCTTTGGAGTTTTGACTTAAAGTACATTTTATAAAATATGACGATTACTTAAGATGTAGCTTGTGTAATACTGTTTTGACGTCTGCTGCTCTCGTTTTGTTAATATTTGCATGGAATGTCTACTTCCATCTTGCCACTTTCAGTCTTTTTATTATTAGATCTTTTTTGACTCTTGTAGAAAGGCAAGTTGGATCTTGATTTTTCTTTTCTTTTTTTTTTTTTTTTTTTTTAGCGGGAATCTTGTTCTGTCACCCAGGCTAGAGTAGTGCAGTGGTACCATCTCAGCTCATTGCAACCTCCGCCTCCCAGGTTCAAGCAATTCTCCTGCCTCGGCCTCCCAAGTAGCTGGGATTACAGGCGTCCACCACCATGTCTGGCTCATTTTTGTATTTTTAGAAGAGACAGGGTTTCACCATATTGGTCACGCTTGTCTCAAACTCCTGACCTAAGATGATCCACCGCCTCGGCCTCCCAAAGTGCTGGGATTACAGGCATGAGCCACTGCGCCTGGCCGATTTTTCAGTTCTTTAAATAAATCCCTTTATTAAATGTATGTCTCTTGATTGGAAAGTTAATTATATATATTCAAATAATTTTCTGAAGGTCTTATAATGTCATTTTATTAGTTATTTTCTTTGATTCTTGTATCTTTGTCCCTCATTTTTCTTTGTCTTCCTTTGATGCTTTCATTTCTTTCTTATTTGTGTATCCATACAGATATTTTTGGGGGTAACTTGGGGATTACATAAAACCTCTAAAAAATACAACAATATAGTTAACCTGGTAAAAAAAAATTAATTTCAGTTGCATACAAAGTTTTTTTTGTTTGTTTTGTTTTGTTTTGTTTTGTTTTTGAGACAGAGTCTCACTCTGTTGCCAAGGCTGGAGTGCAGTGACACAGTCTCGGCTTACTACAACCTCCGTTTCCCAGGTTCAAACAATTCTGCTTCAGCCTCCTGAGTAGCTGGGACTACAGGCGCGTGCCACCATGCCCGGCTACTTTTTGTATTTTTTTTAGTAGAGACAGGGTTTCACTATGTTGGCCAAGTTGGTCTCGAACTCTTGACCTTGTGATTCACCGCCTTGGCCTCCCAAAGTGCTGGAATTACAGGCATGAGCTACCATGCCTGGCCGCATACAAGGTTTTTTCCTTGTTACATCTGTCCTCAACATTGTTATTGATGGTGCTAATTATATCTTTTTATGTTGTATGTCCATTAACAGTTGTTTATAATAGTTTCTATGCTTTTATCTTTCAAGTTCTAGAGAATAATTAAAAATGTGTACTGCACCATTATGATAATGCTAAGGAATAGTATTTTTCTGTATGTGCATATCTCTCCCAGAAAGTTATGTATTTTCATATGATTATGTGTTGTTTTCTTGCATCATGTTATTTTCAGTGGAAATAACTCCTTTTCACCATCTTTGATATGTAGGGCAAATGGAGTGCCAATATACTTTTTCAGGATTTGGTTATTTTGGAAGATCTTTTCCTTTTTATCTGGTAGGACAGTTTTGCTGATGGTATTATTCTCACTTGGCAGCTTTTTTTTTTAAGGACTTTGACTATATCACACAGTTTTTTTTTTGGCCTGCAAAATTTTCTTGACAGATTCACTGGTTTTCTCATAAGACTATCCTTGTAAATGACATATCACTTTCATCTTGCAGCTCCCAAGATTCTCTTGCCTGTGACTGTTGAAATCGTGCTTATATATGTGTGTGTTATAAATATCTTTGTGTGTATCCTAGTTTGTTGAGCATGTTCATTTTTACATCAGTTTTTCCTACTTTTAAAATTTTTCAGTTTTTTTTTTGTAATTTTACCTTAACAATTTGTTTTTGATATTTTTAACACTTGTTTTTATCCTCATATTTCTGATTTTCAATAGTTGTCTGTTCCTATTTAATTCATTGAGTATTCAATTTATTTTAAATTTTTAAAATTAATTTTTACAGCTTCATTCTTTAATAGTTGCTTTCAGAAAATTTTATAATGTTTTTGATGAGGTCATGTTGCCTTCATATTTTGTATGCATTATAATTTTTTATTGAGATTTGGACATTAAAAACAAGCTACCCATCACAATCTTTATAATGTATCTTTGTCTTGTCATAGCCTGAAACCAACTGTCTTGGCTAGAGATTTTGGTAGTCTCTCAAACATGTTCTTAAAGTGTGTCTTTTCTGAAATTTTTTGGGTTTTTTAGTTAAAGGAGTTTGTTCATGAGTCAGTAGTCACTTGCTACACCTGTTCCCTGTCTGTGGTACTGCAGTTTCTCCGCTGCTGCAACATTCACCTTGGGTCTCAGTTGACTCAAACTGTCATTCCATAGTATATCACCATTTCTTTTGCATTTTATGTCATGAGAGACAGAAATCAGTGTCTGGAAAAGTCCCTAGAAGTCTGAAATGAATATGTGTGTGCCACTATTTTTCTTCTCTTTTCAAAAAGAAACCAAGAGTTGCAATTTACTTCTTTTTTTTTGAGACAGAGTTTTGCTCTGATCACCCAGGCCGTAGTTCAATGGCGTGATCTCAGCTCACTGCAGCCTCTACCTTCCAGGTTCAAGGGACTCTCCTGCCTCAGCCTCCTGAGTAGCTGGGATTACAGGCATGCGCCACCACACCTGGCTAATTTTTGTGGTTTTACCAGAGAAGAGGTTTCATCATGTTGGTCAGGCTGGTCTTGAACTCCTGACCTTGTGATCTGCCTGCCTCGGCCTCCCAAAATGCTGGGATTACAGGCACGAGCCACTGCACCTGGCCTGCAGTAGACTTTTCTTTTCCTTCTATATGGCTCTTTGCATTGTGCTCACCTGGGGCACTGCACACACTTAACTCATTTATATATTTTCCACAAATGTATCTTGGTCAGTATGTTTTGTTACATTGATATGTCTGTGAAGGAATTAGGGCCTGTGGTATTTTGCTGTGCCATCTTGCTTATGTAGTTTGTATATTTTTATAGGTTAGATTTGTAAAGTATATTCATCTGAGTCTAGTAAGTGAAGTAATTGTTATTTTTATTTCTTTCAGTTGTGTGTTCTCATTTTGCCCAAGACCTTTGGCCAAAGCAGGGCTTAAAAGATTCTTTTCAAAAAGTGATCCTGAGAAGATATGGAAAATATGGACATGAAAATTTACAATTAAGAAAAGACTGTAAAAGTGTGCATGAGCATAAGGTGCACAAAAGAGGTTATAATGGACTTAACCAATGTTTGACAACTACCCAGAGCAAAATATTTCAATGCGATAAATATGTTAAAGTTCTTCATAAATTCTCAAATTCAAGTAGACACAAGAAAAGACATACTGGAAAGAAACCTTTCAAACGTAAAGAATGTGGCAAATCATGTTGCATACTTTCACAACTAACTCAGCATAAGAAAACTGCTACTAGAGGGAATTTCTACAAATGTAAAACATGTGGAAAAGCCTTTAACCAGTTCTCAAATCTTACTAAACATAAGATAATTCATACTGAAGTGAATCCCTACAAATGTGAAGAATGTGGCAAAGCCTTTAACCAGTCCTTAACTCTTACTAAACATAAAAAAATTCATACTGAAGAGAAACCTTACAAATGTGAAGATTGTGGCAAAGTCTTTAGTGTATTTTCAATCCTTACTAAACATAAGATAATTCATACAGGAACAAAACCCTACAATTGTGAAGAATGTGGCAAAGGCTTTAGTATATTCTCAACCCTTAGTAAACATAAGATAATTCATACTGGAGAGAAGCCCTACAAATGCAACGAATGTGGTAAAGCCTTTAACTGGTCCTCAACTCTTACTAAACATAAGAGAATTCATACTGGAGAGAAACCCTACAAATGCAATGAATGTGGTAAAGCCTTTAACCAGTCCTCAACCCTTACTAGACATAAGATAGTTCATACTGGAGAGAAACCCTACAAATGTGAAGAATGTGGTAAAGCCTTTAAACGGTCCACAACTCTTACTAAACATAAGAGAATTTATACTAAAGAGAAACCATACAAATGTGAAGAATGTGGGAAAGCCTTTAGTGTATTCTCAACCCTTACTAAACATAAGATAATTCATACTGGAGCAAAACCCTACAAATGTGAAGAATGTGGCAGCGCCTTTAGGGCATTCTCAACCCTTACTGAACATAAGCGAGTTCATACTGGAGAGAAACCTTACAAATGTAATGAATGTGGCAGAGCCTTTAACTGGTCCTCAACTCTTACTAAACATAAGAGAATTCATACTGGAGAGAAACCCTACAAATGTGAAGAATGTGGCAAAGCTTTTAACCGGTCCTCAAACCTTACCCGACATAAGAAAATTCATACTGGACAGAAACCATACAAACCTAAAAGACATGACAGTGCTTTTGACAACACCTCAAACTTTTCTAGACATAAAAGAAATCATACTGGTGAGAAATCCTAGAAATGTAAAGAATGTGACAAAGCGTTTAAGTGGTTGTCACACTTGATTGTATATAAGATGATTCATACTGGAGAAAACTCCGAGAAGTGTGACAAATGTGACAAAACAATTCTCATACCTTATTGCACAGGAAAGCATTTATACTTGAGAAAAATTGTATAAAGAATGAAAAAGTCATTAATATCTGCTCATATCTTACTCAACATCAGAAAGTTAGTACTTAATAAAAGCGTTATCAATGAAATTACTGTCAAAAGATCTTTCAGACAATATAAGCCTGTAAAGTGCAGCAGAGTATTTTGAAGAGAAACATTAAAAATACGAAGAGGTTTGTAGTACCTTTGCTTGTATCATAGATCTTACTGTACACATTTTGTACTAGAGAAAAACCCTGAAGCAGTTGTTCAAACTTTGTTCAATACCAGGAAATTTATGTTGGAGAAAAACCCTATGAGTGTAATGAATTTGGAAAAATACTTTTTCAACAACAGCTTAGAACACATGAGAGGAATTATACTAAAATAGATTTTTGCAAATGCAACAGTAAATATGAAATACATGATCCAAAATTAGGTTTATATAAATATCAGAGAATTCACAGTACAGATATCTTAAGATACTGACACTTCAGACATTACACAAAATCAGAGTGCTGAGTACAGAAAGTTATCCAAAACACAAGTTGGTAGATAACTAATAGTGAAAAAGTTTTTTGCAGAGGTATATTTACATTCAAAGTACACTGTTTTCTTTGGAAAAAATTACAGGTTTTTTAAAAAGTGAATAATGATATAATTCAACTCTCAAATCCATGTTGTTTGGTCTTTTTTGGACGGAGTTTCGCTCTTGTTGCCCAGGCTGGAGTGCAATGGCGTGATCTCAGCTCACTGCCATCTCCGCCTCCTGGGTTCAAGTGATTCTCCTGCCTCAGTCTCCCGAGTAGCTGGGATTACAGGCATGTGCCACCACGCCCAGCTAATTTTGTATTTTTAGTAGAGACAGGGTTTCTCCATGTTGGTCAGGCTGCTCTCGAACTCCCGACCTCAGGTGATCTGCCTGCATCAGCCTCCCAAAATGCTGGGATTACAGGCATGAGCCACACACCTGGTCCATGCTTTTCTTCATTCCTATTGTATTCACATGTGAAAGCATGTGATCAACTGTTGTTGCATCAAAGATATGAGAGATTTTTTTTTTATTAGATGGGCATTACTTATGACCTTTTTAATGGAAGAGTAAGAACATTAAAATGAAAGACACGTGATGAAAATCTAAGTAGAGAGGCTCTTGTGGTTAACTGATAATATTGAGTCATGCATGAGGTAGGTGTTCAGAGTAATATTCTGCATTATAGTGAAAAGTTTTTAAATTTTAGTTAAAATTCAGTATTTTATGAATTGTGCTTTTCATAATAAAATGCAGTACATTTCAAAATTTTTAGATTATGTATGAACTTAGATTTTTAAACATATTTTAACATGTTAAGACTGTTGTGTATTCAGTGAAGCATTTTTATGCCACAAACTTTAACCTGCCCCACCTTACTCAATGGCGTAGGTAAAAGATGATGATAGCAATATACTATTTGGTTACATAGTGGACTAACATCTTTAGTAATCTCTTTTGCCAGTGGCTTTAAACTGCAAATAAGTCAAAGAATATTCCCATAGGTTTTACATTTATATTTTTTCTTATTTAAATTTATTGTTCTTATTTTTCATGGGTACATAGTGTGTTTTTATATTTATGCCATATATGGCATGTTTTGATACAGGTATATAATATGTAATAATCACATCAGGGTAAATGAGGTATCCATTACTAGCATTTATCCTTTGTATTACAAACTGTTCAGTTCTATAATTTTATTTTAAAAGGTACAACTAAATTGTTGTGGACTACAGGGTTATTTTTATGGTCATAATAAAAATTATAAAAGTATAAATAAAATACATTTCTGAGTCCTGAATATTTTTTAGAATATGTTATATATTTTTCTTCTAACATGTGGCCTCTTTGCCTACAAGCATATAAAGACTTTTAGTTTTGATTTACATAGAGTTAAATATAGATACATTTTACTTTAAAGATAAATCTCAAGTATAAGAAAATTGTAAGTGTGCTTGTGTGAGTATGTTTGTACCTATTTTCAGAAGAAAAGAGCAATATTGGAACAAAACAAATCATTTTAATAAGGTGACTAATTTACTAGAAAACTAACAACCTCAAAAATGCTGAAAGCAAATCTATACTCTTTCTGCTTTGTATTGAATTCATTACTGTAAAATATTATGGCTTATGGTTCAGAATCTCCCCATGCAGATGTTCTGTTTTTACTTGCCTGGTACTCATGGTAGAGCTGTACATTTCTTTTTTCTTACAATTTCTTTTACAGTTTATGAAGTATTATGTGAGCTGGTCAGGGATTACAACAATGATTTTTTATAAAATTTAGTAGTGTACAAAAAGTAATTTTTAGATGTAATTTTACTATTAGTCTATTAAGTTATAATTTACTTATTTAGTTAAAACATTGCCCTTTGTTCTTTTAATTGGAGAACCCTATGTGAGCCTACTTTTTAAAAGTTATTATTTCTTTCACTTTTCATAATTGATATAAGTAAATTTATTTATTTATTGAATTTGTTCAGGTAAGTACTAGGAAGGCTTCCTGAGTCATGAGGATGCTATTATATATAAACATAGCAGACAAACATGACAGTGCTTGCTGTGTAACAGATGCTCCATAGTAAGACGTAAATACTCCTGTTGAAGTTAGTTTGTAACTTCAAGTCAGAAATGGAATATATCAATGGTGAAACAGTAACATTGATTCTTCATATGGAGAGGACTTTTTTTTTTTCTGGGCTGCAAAGCTGAATTCTGCTGAATTTAAAGAGAAATTCTGGTAATTTTCTAATTATCGTCAGGTTTGTTTGTCTTATGTGTATTCCAACAATGTATGCATCACAGCTCTTCTTTTTCTGTATTATGGCTACAGTTTTCTCACTGTTGTCTTTATGCCATGTCATTTCGCATGGTAATTTAGTAAGTTTTGATGAGAAATTTCGTATTTTTAGTGCACTGAAAAATTGGTTTTAATTGGCGAGTTTGCTTATCAATATAACTCTCAGATTGTTAATTAAAAGACATACACTGTCCACAGGTGAGAGGATTAAATCACTTGGCATTGTTTTTAACTGTAAAAGAAAAATCTTACTAGATTCTTACACAAAGTGTGGCACATATAAAATTTGCTAGAAAATATGTCAGAAATAAATTAATTTTTATTTATTCATTTTTTTTGAGATGGGATATCACTCTTTTTACCCAGGCTGGAGTGTAATGGCCCGATGTTGCCTCACCGCAACCTCCACCTCCCGGGTTTGACTCTCCTGTCTCAGCCTCCCGAGTAGCTTGGATTACAGGCATGCGCCACCATGCCCAGCTAATTTTGTATTTTTAGTACAGATGGGGTTTCTCCATGTTGGTCAGGCTGGTTGTGAACTCCCGACCTTAGGTGATCTGCCCACCTCGGCCTCCCAAAGTGCTGGGATTACAGGCATGAGCCACTGTGCCTGGCCAGAAATTAAATTCTTGAGAGAGCTAATGGTAAATCTGACTGGGCACGCTGGCTTAGGCCTCTAATCCCAACACTTTGGGAGGCTGAGCTGGGTGGATTACTTAAGGCCAGGAGTGCGAAACCAGCCCAGCCAAGATGGTGAAACCCTGTCTCTACTAAAAATACAAAAATTAGCCAACTGTGGCCGTGTGTACCTGTAGCCCCAGCTACTTTGAAGGCTGAGGCAAGACAATTATTTGAATGCAGGAGGCAGAGGTTGCAGTGAGCCGAGATCATGCCACTGCACTCCAGTCTGGGCAACAATGAGACTCCATCAAAAACAAAAAAACAAAAAACCAACAACAACAAAAAAACCCCGATAAATCAAACATTTTGAATTTAATTTTCTATAATATAGCACAACTTATGTTTTCACACAGAATCTTCTATCTTTAAGTGTGGCTGTTAAACATTGCAAAATAATAAAATGACTTCTGTTGATTTGAAATTTGGAATAGTATTTCTTTTCCATATTGATATTACAATTTGGAGGAATTTCTTACTTTTTTAGGTGGAGTCTCACTCTTGTCACCCAGGCTAGAGTACAGTGGCGCAATCTCGGTTCACTGCAACCTTCGCCTCCCGGGTTCAAGCTATTCTCCTGCCTCAGCCTCCTGAGTAGCTAGGATTACAGGCACTTGCCACCACGCCTGGCTAATTTTTGTACTAATTTTTTTGTACTAATTTTAGTAGAGATGGCATTTCGCCATGTTGGCCAGGCTGGTCTCGAGCTCCTGACTTCAGATGATCCACCTGCCTCAGCCTCCTGAAGTATTGGGATTACAGGCATGAGCCACTGCTCCCGGTCTCACTTTAAAAAAAAAAAAAAATATATATATATATATATATATTTGGTTATATATATATATATTTGGTTGGTGAAGTTCAGTCTACAGTTTTTATTCTTAGTCACCTATCTGTAGCCAACTCCTTGGTCATTTTCTCTGGAAAACTTTTGGAGATCATGGCAACTTTTGGATTAAAACGTTTTCTATTTCTTTGCATGCAAATTTGTTTTCTGAGTGGTGTCATGGGGCCATAAACAACACCTGCCCTTTTAGTGTCTTTCACACCATTACCATCTGTACCAGAAACTCCAGGTGCCCCAAGCTTAAAAACCCTAAAGTACATTGACTTTTCCCATGGACTGTGCTGGGTCCAGAACATGGTGTTAAATATCAGAGTTTCTGTGATCATGACAGATGACAAAAACCACACGAGAACTAAGTATTTTTGATACTATTCAGCCAAGTTTATGAAAAAGACAGTATTTGAAACATTATATTTCCATAATGTTTTAAAAATGAATTTTTTGATGTGACATAAAATGTGCATTTTTTCTGTAAAACATGATGTTTTGAAGTATATGTACAATGTCAAATGCTTAATTCTAGGTTAATGCTTCACCTCACATAGTTAACATTTTGTGGTGAGAGCACTTCACATTTTCTTAGCATTTTTCTTAGCACTCTTCATTTTTTCAGTATTCTCTTAGCATATACAAAGACATTATTATGAACTATAGTCACTGTGCTATACAGAAAAATCTTTTGAACTTAATCCTCTTATTTAACTATAATTGTGTATTCTTTGACAGACATCTTTCCAAACCTCACTTTCTTCTAAATACCTCGGCATCTGGTCATTACCATTTTGCTCTCTACTTCCGTGAGATTAATTTTTTTAGAATGCATGTGTAAGTGAAATTATGACATATTAATCTTTGGCTTATTTCAACTAATATAGTGTCCTTCAGGTTAATCCATGTGATTGAAAATAATACGATTTTCTTTTTAAAAGGTGAATAGTATTCCATTGTGTACATACACCACAATCTCTTTATTGACTCATTAGATGTTGAACTGTTGATTCCATGTTTTGGCCATTGTGAAGAGTGTTGCAAACAACATAGAAGTGCAGATGTTTCTTCATTCTGATTTTATTTGTTAGGGATATATGTATACAATAGTGGAATTGCTATATTATACAATAGTTTGATTTTAAATTTTTTAAGGAATCTCTGTTTTGTTTTTCATAATGGCTGTCCTCATTTACATTTAAGCCAACAGTGTGCAAACATTTCGTTTTCTTCGTATGTTTACCAATACTTTTTTTTTCTTTTTAATATGAGTAATTGTGACAGGAGTGAGTTGATATCTCATAGGTTTTTTCTTTTGGCTTGCTTTTCCCTAATAATAATTGATGTTTAGGATTTTTAAATGTATCTGTTGGCCATATGTATGCCTTTTTTTGAAAAAATATTTACTTAGGCCTTTTACTCACTTTTAATAGTTATTTTTTATTGTGTAGTCATTTGAGTTTCACATATATATACACACACACATGCATATATGTATATACATATACATGTATAGATATATGTATATACACACACATATTTTGAAACAGAGTCTCACTCTGTTGCCCAGACTGGAGTGCAGTGGTGCAATCTTGACTCACTGCAACCTCTGCCTCCTGGGTTCAAGTGATTCTTCTGCCTCAGCTTACCAAGTACCTGGGATTACAGGCACCCACAACCATGCCCAGCTAATTTTTGTATTTTTAGTAGAGATGGGGTTTCACCATGTTGGCCAGTCTGGTCTCTAACTCCTGACCTCAAGTGATCTGCCTGCCTTGGCATCTCAAAGTGCTGGATTTATAGGCATGAGCCTGCAGCCTGGCCAAGTTTCTTACATATTTTTTGATAGTAATGTCTTGTCACATGTATGGTTTGCAAATATTTTGTCCCATTTTTTACTTTTCTTGTCCTGTTTGTTGTATCAGATTTTTTTCAGCAGCTTTTTATTAATAATTTGAAGTAATCTGACATCAATTTTACCTTTGATTCCCTGGGATTTTGAGGTTAAATCAAAGAGTTACTGCCTAGACCAATGTTATGGGGGTTTTACTCTATATTTTTTGTAGTAGTTTCAGAGATTCAGGCCTTACATTTAGGTAAGTAAACTATTTGAGTAGATTTTTAGATATGGTGTGAAATGAGGGTCTCATTATATTGCTCTGCATGTGGCTATAATTTTCTCAGCACCATTTACTGAAGATACTGCCCTTTCCCTAAGAAGGTGTTACCTATATTTAAATTGAGTTAGCTGTAAATACATGGATATATTTCTGGTTTGTCTTTACTGCTCCATTGGCATATGTGTCTGTTTTTATTGAAGTACCATACTGTTTTGGGTACTATAGCTTTGTAGTATATTTCAAAGTCAGGTAGGGTAATAACTTTAGTGTTTTGTTTTTGTTTTTGTTTTTCCTTGATTGCTTTGGCTATACAGGATCTTTTGTGGGGTACCATATAAATTTTAGATATAT